TCTGGTGAAGCCTCTCACCGCCCCTGAGCCTCTGGCCTGTACCCCAGTTCTGTATGCACAAATAAATAAATCTAAAAAAAAAAGAAGTCTTTTTCTATTTGATTATAATTTTGAATATAGTATTTGTTGTATATCTGAAAATAAATGTTGACTATATTGTTCATATACTATCACGTTCATGCAAAATAAAATTTCAAGTCCTTTCATCAATTTAATAACAGTTAGCAAAATAAACCTATTGGGTAATGTCCTGAGTCAGTGTAGAAATCGCACTGGTCTCAGAGTCAGCAAACTTTAATTCTGGCTGTGTCAGGGATTATCTGTGTTATCAAGTCTCTACATGTTTAGACCTCTCTGAACCTAAACTGTGGAGTGAGATTTATTTTGCTCATAGATCCTAAATAGCTCTTTATTTCAGGAGACCACATTGCCTTATCTCACAAGAAAACTTGGTTCTCATCTCCTTTTATTTCAGGTAAGATTCCTGTTCTAAGCAAAGAAAAACTGCCTGTAGTAGGAATTGGAAAGCACCTGTGTGGTGTGGCAACAGGTATGTAAACATACTAAGGGCATGTAGAGGAACACATTTTTAGCCTAATGTGATCCCAGCCGTTTAAGTAGTCTCTTTTCAGTATCACTTAGGTGTATAACAAAATAATCTTCATAGTAGTACTGGACCTGTGTTATATATCAAAGATAGAACTTTCCTATTTATTTCCTCATTTTGGCCATTTTCCAAGGCAAATTAAGAGTTTTATGTGTAAATATTATGTTATATGGAACCTTATAGTTCTTTGGGTTATATTTCAGCCAAAAAGGAAACAAAGCATTTAAAGAAATTGTATGGATCCACCCCTGAAACTACCAATTGTTTTTTTAGAGGAGTCATTTGGGAAGAAGGCAAAAACCTATCTCACTCCCACATGAGTGTGTGTAAAGATGCTGGGGGAAAGGAAAAAAATGTCAGATAAAAAAAATGTAGGAAGTCTTGTCTTAGCACTCTGTCCATTAGATGGCGTATGGGAAGAGCATGGCTTTGAAATCAGGTTATGTAGCCTTGGCAAATTACTTACCCTTTCAGAAATTTGGCTGTTTCATCTGAAAGCAGAGCTAGGAAGATAGAATTCACCACTCTGTGTATTATATTAGTGTGTATAAATGTTAACTATTGTGACATCTTCTTGGCTCCTGCTCGTTTCATAATCTACGTATCTGAAGAATCTGGAGCCTCCCATATATGTTAGTGTATCCTCATAGTTTTTAGATGATGTTCGTGTATCTTATCTCATTTAACCTTCATAAAAACCTTTTGAAGTTAGCTCCTTTTTATCCTGGAGAGGAAAACAAACATACTCCTTTACACTTCTCCAGCTAATCCAGGTTTCTCAGAAATATAATCTACATTGGCCATGCTCCGCACCTTTTACCCTCCCTTGAGTCACTGTATCTGATGTCTCCCTTTATCCATCATTTTACTGAAAAAGTCTGTGCTGTCAGTACCTATCCTATTTCAGTTCTGTTTCCTTTTCTTCTGTGACTTTGTTCCTTATTCTTCCCTGATTTCTGTGACACTTTTTCTCTATTTTCCTCTTGGTCTCCATCCACTAAGGGGCCTTTAAATTTTAATCTTTAGGTACACATGCTATATACCTAATGTCTTTCCCTCCAACTGAAAACTCTTCAGTAGCTCCCAGTCGCCTGCATGGTAAAGTTGAAGCTCTTTTAACTTGATGTCCTACTCTTAGGCTTCCACCTTCCTCTTTTGGCCGCTTCCTGCCTCCAGCTTAATATCAGTAAATTTAAACTCTCTGTGCACCTTTCCCATGTAAGAACTGTGCACCTTTCCCATATAAAATATTGAATCAGTTTCTAAACTGACCAATTTCTAGTCATCCTGCAGCTAAGTTGTCACCACTCTGAGGGAGCCTCCTTAAAATAAAATACTCCTTAGCTATTATAATGTCCTCTTATATTTGTCTTCATACATGTTAATTAATTGTTTATACTCTAATTGCCCACTATGCTGACAATTTTTGAGCACAGAAAGTATGCCTGCACAATGTTGGGCATATAATAAGACACAGTATATGTTTGACTGAATGGCTTTGTTTATCAATTGCTATGGTAATATGCTACCAATTTCCATTTCCCTTTCTGGTTATATGATTTTTGTCCCTTAAATTTGCTGTAAATGAGAGATTGAGCTAGATAGCTAAAGCTCCTTCTGATTGTAGAACAACTTCATTTTTTTTAAATAAATATAATAGTTTATTTTTACATAATTTTGTGCCTTTTTCCATCTCAGTTATAATCCCTGTGGGCTTCCCATCACCAAATCACCCATGTGCCATCACCATAGTCCAGTGTACTTCTTTCAAACCCCACATTTTTTTATCCCATTCCACCCCTGTAAAATGTCTCTAATATATAGTTGTTCATTATTATTATTATCCCCCCTGGCCCTTTAAATTCCTGCTATGAGTGAAACCATCTGGTATTTTTCCTTTTCTTTCTGGCTTATTTCACTAAGCATGATCCCTTCCAGCTCTATCCATGTTGCTGCAAAAGGCATGTGTTTATCTTTTTTGGTTGTTGAGTAATATTCCATTGTGTATATATGTACCACATCTTTTTAATCCAGGCATTTACTTTTGGGCATTTGGATTAGAACAGCTTCATTTTTAAATAATTTTTCAGCTATTCACATTTCTGGAAATCATTTACTTAATCCAAAATCAGTTAAAACAGTGACTATTTTGTCAGAAAATGTTAAGAAAGTAATAGATTAGCTGTCATGTTCTTCACATGCTAGTTTCTCAGTAATACTTGTTGGTTTGAACTAACAGGTATTACACTTAACAGTGAATAGATTTATTCAGTTAGTCAAATTTACTATATGAATAATGGATTAAATTCACTGGACAGTCAGATTAATATTCACTTGTGATGTTTTAGGGTAATAACATTTAAAAATTATATTTTTGATTGGACAGACACAAATTAACAGTTTAATCAGATAGAAAAATGTGGGTTTTATAGCTTGTTTTGAGCTCTTAATTGTCAGCATATTTAGCATTTTTCTATAGAAAGTAGTTGTAGTCATGGAAAATTCATTTGTTTCATTTTAAAACATACTATACATGTGTCATTTTAGCAAGTAATATAGGCACCTCTAAATTTGTGTGTTAGTTATAATATAACCCATAAAGCTTAATGTATAAATACAATAGGGCTGCTTTCCAGTCTAGATGCCTTTTCCTTCTCAACTCTTTGACTCATCATTGTGAACATCTTTACATTGCAGGATTAGCACCTAACAACAGCATTAGCAGTTATTTCTTAGCATTTGTCATTTATTTCTTTCATTGGATTTAACTCAAAATTTCTTTAGAATGTAAGTGTAATAGATACTTTTTTTGTATAAAGTCATTTCCTCAAACACAGATAGAAAAATGAGAGTGAACTCATATGGATGATTAAAATTTTTGCAAATTGTAGATCCTAAGTGTCAGATAATTTTATTGGAATGTTAGACTTTCTGCAGAATAAATCACTAGAGAAGGTGACACAATAATAAGAAAAAAGCAAATATGAAAAGTTGACAACTGATGAAAGAACTATACAAGTATAAAAATTATGTTAAAATGTTGTGGGGTTTTTTTTTTTTTTTGGTTGGTTTTTAAAGACCATAGTGCTTAATAAATGTAAAATAATATATTTATTTTAAAAGATGATGTGGTTTTGGGGGGCCACATAATTGTGTTTGCAGATCTTGCATTACGATGTTTGGTTGAAACCTATGCTGCCAGTTGTGAGGAAAGAAATGAAGAACCTTTAGCCAAACGCATAAAGAATGATAAAACAGAAAAAGAAATTAACACTTTGGCCAAGGAAGGAAATGAAAAAAATGTGCCAGAGAAGTGGACCCCTGTGGCTGGCATTGTTATTGCGCTCTGTTGTCACCACAGGTGTGATTGGAGACATTATGTGGGCAAAGAATATTTCAAGGCTCTAGGCCTTGGAGCGGTGGAATTCCACTATTTCCAGCGAATGAGTAGCTGGGCGACTTGTGGGATGCGGAAGACATCTTTGGAAGCCTCAAATATTACCACAGTGAGAAAAGACCAGAAGAATGATGACAGTGAAGAGCATGATGATGGGGGATACAGCAGAATCACAGATGACAGTGCTGAGAATTTGCCTGGGTAAGTGCCTACTCTGAAATGCACAACATTGGGCAGAAATACTTGGCTATTGCTGTGCTTCTTGGATCAGTGCTACCAGAATTTTATTCATGGGATACATTTGACCCTGAAACTTCAGAGTAAGTTAAAACACACACATTTTTATTTTGGGCATAAATGGAAGCATATGAAGCATAGTACATAGCACCTACTTTATTATGGGCTCTTTAGCAGCTTATCAAGTAATAGAAGTGACTGAAGTAATTTTCTATAAACTTTCACAAAATTTTAATAATGTTTGTATGTATTTATTCAATTCAGGTTTCTTACTGTTGAAGAAAAGAAGAAAATAGGGCAACTTTGTAAATTACTGATCGACCAAGGCCGATTCGAGTACTTGCAACAGAAGGGATTCAGTCCTGCACTCCAGTACTATACAGACCCTCTGGTGTCTTTGGAAAATGTGTTGTTAACTGCTTTACCAAATCATTCTTCATCACCAGAAACAACTACTTAATGGAAAGAAATTTTGAACATCTGTCTTCGACCAAAACAAAGATGCAAAACATTTTAAATTGTATTTTTATATTCATGGAAATATAATTAGCAGATAATATGAACTTTTAAAAATGTGGCCTCAATGAACCTTAACAATAGCTTTGTGTTTTACTTCACAAGTCCAAACAGAGAATTCACCAAATTCCAAGTAATCCTCTTCTCATGTCTGTTCAGCAGGACATCTTGAAGTATATTATCCATCAGTACTTACAGAGGTTGGTGATGTAGACGAACAACTTACTTGGTTATCTGAAACATACATCATATGTCAACACATAACTAGTACATCTATTTTTGATTTCCATTAATTTTTGAAATATTTTGCTTTGGTTTTACTTAATGCTTCTGCAGTTCAAGATGTAATGATCAGTTGTCAGTTTGTAACAAGGGTGAATCTGAGAATTTCCGCATGTAGGGATTTTTTTTTTTCATGCAGATATGGAAAATATAATCAATTGTGATATTTTTCCAGTGCAAAGGAATTCAAAGGTGTTCACAATCAATGAAATTCCCTTTCAGATTTTCAGAGTATTGCTTGTATTTAATTATTACTAGATTGGCCTAAGGTAAATACCAAAATTGAAGAGATTATTTTCAAGGAAAGAAAATATGGTTTCAAGTTGATTTTTTTTCTGTTGGATAGTAACCTAGAGCGCTAACTAGAATTTCCAAAAAGATACTTAGAAGACTTATTCACAAATTAAATAGAAATTTACAAATTACTTTTGAAGGTGATTAGGTATCTCATTTTCTTTTAGCAGACCATATCTACATTTATAAATACAATATACACTGATTCTTCCCTGTGTGTGGAAATAAGTTAAAACAGAAATTAGGTAATAAAACCAAAAACTTTATCACATTCAGGCCTCATTTAACTTGTAACCAGTTTCTATGCACAAACAAATATTATAAACCAAACATATGGCAGGACTGTTATTCTTTTCCACATCTGATCCATTATTTCTCTTTATTTTTGAAAACTTAACTTACTTAACATTTGGTACATTTGTCAAGATAAAGATTCAGAATTAATATAGATACTAAGTTAATATTTTTAGCTAGCTTTTATCTTGTCGGCCTATGATTACATGAATAGTAAATTAAAAGCCTAGGCTATTTGTAATTCCTAACCTTCCTACTTTAGGTTAAGCTCACATTTTCTGACACTACCTAGGTTCAAATTCAGACTATCACTTCTCAGCTGTATAATCATAGGCAAATTATTTAATCTTCATGTGCCTCAATATCTTCTTCAAATGGGGATTATGATAATGATACCTACCTCACGAGGTTGTTGTAAACATCAAGTGTAAGACCTATAAAATGCTAACAATTCAGAACTCAGAGTACTCAATAAATACTCAACTTATTAAGAGTCCTAATTCTTGAATCTTTATTTTTCCTTTGTTCTTCAGTTTTTTAAGTCATGTAGGCATACTCGATTTTATTATCTCTTTAAGTTGTAACTTTTTCTTTTGTTGTAAGTTTGTCAGATATTATTAAAGTAAGGTGTTCGGATTGTTTTTTAAGTAGTGACTCATGTGACCCCATCAAGTAAATGAAGATAACACATTCATCAATTAGCCTGATTTACTAGGTCAGGCAATGTCACTTTGCATGATACAATCTAGTGTATATCATTCAACAGTTTATGCCCAGAAATAAAAGGTATTTTGCAATAGGCATACTCTCAGTTATGGTTCATTAAGCAGAAATACACAAAAATTACACTGACACCATCCTATGACCCATTAAGCTTAGTGATATGTTTAACGGGAAGAAAAACTTGCCCTTCAATGTACCAGACTTAGGTCATGATCATTGTTTTCTCAATTTTGCTTATTTTTTTCAAAATGTCATGAGAAAGAGACTATACCTTTGCAGTTTCAGCAAACCCCTTCTTGCTCTTTAAACTCATCTATATAACTACCTAGCCACGTTTGTCCCACACATGCATCAAATTTACTGTTAAAATGAAATTTTTGTGCTTGCCACCAGATCCTGCCCACCAAACTTCTAGCTACATTTCCCCTTCTCAGCACCACCATCCAGCCAGTAATTCTAGCCCTAAATTGAGACTTACTTTGAACTCCTTTTTCTCACCTTTATTAGATCATCAGCTCTACTTTTTTTGTAAATATTCTCTTACTTTTCAAAAGTAGTACCCAAACTACAATACCTTTGTTTTCCTCTGCTCTCTAGTCTGTTTTGAGTCTGACCTTACCACAACAGAGATCTAATCACCATTTTCTAAGCATGCCCCATTGGTGTTGGGAAAAATGTGTCCAGCGGAAAAACTAATTGCAACCTGAGTTATATACACATCTCATACCTGCTTTTCTTCGTGACTCCTGTATATATATGTGCATAAACTGAAGGCCAAATAATTCCTGTTCGTCTTCATCTGTGCTATCCCTGGGAGGAAGTGTTACTTCCAATTTCAATGGGTTGTCTCTGAAGTTGACAAACCTAGCAGTTCATCAAAAAACAGTATTTTTATAGGTGCCATAGAAGTATAATCTTATTCCCTGGAAAAAAGATCAAATGATAAATACTAAATTACTCTTATTTGACTGCTTCAATAACATCTTGGTGAGATGTGATATATCCCAAGAATCTTAGAAGTTTCTTTCCTAAGAAAAAAGAAAACTTACTTTCAAACCTTGTGAAAGCAACTTAATTCATAGCATAGATTTAACATGCTGCAGTTTTCACTTTACGAGTAAATCGAATGCATCGTAAATTATTAATGCTATGAACTTCAAGTTCATGGTTTAAGATAGTTTTAAGTTTCTGCATACTTGATCGGCTTACTGTTCAATCTCATTTATCACTGACTTCACCATAGTTGCTGAATAAGTGAAGGAATGAATATCTTAAGATGGAAGTTGTGGGATTTAGTTTGGATTCTTTTGTTTTATGCTTACTGTAAGGAAATTAAAGTTTGAAAAGAAGAAACAAGTGAGTTTTAATAGTAATTAACTTACTAAAATTTTTATTCTATCTAGAATGTAATTTGTAGTAATTAGGAAAATATTCACAATGTTATGCTTTTGGTTTTTATATCATTGAGGTTTGTCAGCAGTTACTAAGATGATCTTCACAAAAATGTCACCCAAAGATCAGTCCTTAAAAGTTGGCAACTCCCAGTACTGCTTTAATATCCAAGATTCATTCTTGAATAATTATGGCAATATTAACTATATTTATAAATTTCAGGATTCCAGAATTGAAATTTTTTTTTAATTTATTCATTTATATGAATGAGAACGTAAGTCTAGTAATAGTAATTTCTCCATATTGTTCTGCAGCCAGAAAAGAATATGTCAATTTTGTGGCTACAACTTTTTACCTCAGATTGGTCATCTCTTCCATGCACACTGGAATATCTTCTAATTTATTGTTGGTGAGAACAAGAGTACCCAGATTTTTCATATTGCTGATAGTATCTGGTAAGCATGTTATTTCATTCCGTTGCAGCCATAATGTATGCAGGTTTTGCATTCTAAAGAAGTAAAAGAGGTTGCTGTGATTAATCACACACAACATGAAAACCCTGGTTCTTATTAAATGAAAAATCAAATGTCATCTTTCATACTATCTTTCTTAACCAGTATACCTATTGGGTTAGCTTCATATTGCCTGCAGGGAGACTGCATCAAGAAATTAAGTTCTATACTACACTCTTACCATATGCAGGTAGAAATAAAATAATTATTTTTTTAATTTTTAGAGATTTGTTTTTATTTACATTCATAAATAATTGGGGTCCAAGTGGTGAGGGGACTCACAAAAGAGTGGGAAACAGGACAAGCAGATTGACTGAAATACACTGCTGAAGGGAACAGCAGGTGAAACAGGAGAGGTCTGTTGTGTAGGTCAGCTCCCTGACCAGGGTTTGAACACATGTCACAGTGGCTAGTGATAGCCCTGAGACTTTAACCCCTGCACCATCAGGAGACACCTGTATTTTAAAATTAATTGCCATTCTCAAAATTAATCTCATTCTTAAATAACTGCTATAAATGTTATTTAATCTGAATTGGAATCTTGAGGATTAAAAAAATTAGAAATTATTAATATGTTCAACTAAGTTTAGGTAGGTAGGTATAACGTTGTTAAAGGTATAGACTCCAAAACAGGCTGCCTAGTTTCACATCTTAACTTGAACCCTTCTTATCATGATATTGAACAATTTAACATCTCTGCAGGAATTCCCTCATCCTTTTGTAAATGCACACAGTTCCTGGCACACATTGTTACTGCTGTGGCATCTCTCAGTTTATTGAAGTTAGTTTTTTTTTTTTTTTTTTTAAAGATTTATTTATTTATTCATACAGAACTGGGGTACAGGCCAGAGATGCGGAGGGTGAGAGGATTCACCAGAGACAGAGCGGGAAGCAGAACAGGCAGATCGATGAAGTACACTGCTGAGGGGAGCAGCGGGCGGGTCAGGAGAGGTCTGCCACGCCATGTGGTCACCTCCGGGGCAGGCGGGGATTGAACTCATGCGGAAGTGGCTTTAGTTTCTCAGTGCAGTGCTTTAACCCGCTGCGCCACCAGGGAGGGCCTGAAGTTAGTTTTTATCTCCCCACACCCTTTTACTCTTTTGGAGTCAGTTAAAATATTCTATTAAAAAATAGCATAGTAAGTACTAAGTGGAAGTATGTGAGTGATTCATGTTTGGGGGTCCCTTTTGTTTTACCTCTTAGTATCAAGAATGCTTCCACACATCTGTTGGTAACAAGAAAATGTATTTCATTTACCTTTCTATAGTGTCAGGAAGTTGTTCAAGACTGTTGCTTCCCATATCAAGCCACTCCAGGGAAGGCATATCCAACACAGCAGGAGGGATTGTAGTAAAGCTGTTCATGCTCAGATCAAGGTGAATAAGCTTCACCAGACTGCTGAGCTGAAGGGGAAGTAAGATTTTCCCAAGTAAATGACCACAGTGTAAACAGCTAAAATACATTGGTAAAGGAAATATATCACTTCAAAGAATATTCACATTATGCTTGGATTTTACAAAGTATAATAAATGTAGTCCACCACAAATTTGAAGTAAAAGTTAAACCAAGAAAACTTCAGATTAATGAAAAACTCTGTCATGGAAAGGTGATTTATTTAAACCAAATATACCTTCCCAAACCTGCCTGATAGGAGCTTTTTTCCTAAGAGTAGGCATATCTAATCTTTTCATCCAATAGTTGAATTTTTATGGCAAAGCCTAAAGGTCAAAATAATAGTTACCTTTATTTAACCCCCTTCTTTGTCACTGATGCTTTTTACATGCATCACCTCTGTCACAGAAATTATTATTGGTTTATTTTATTTTATAAATTTAAACACCAATTAAAAATAATAAGAAGACTAATACGGCAAAGACCAGTATATTTCAGAAATGAAGTGAACATATAAAGAGAACATACTGATAAGATTGTATCCTCTACATACACCATCCTTCTTCCTTTTTATTTATTTTTTATTGTTTTAAAGATTTGCTTTTAATTATTTATGCATAAAAGAACTGAGGTACAGTCAGAGGTGTGGGGTGTGAGAGGATTCACTAGAGACTGAGTGGGGAGCAGAACAGATGTATTGACTGAAATACACTGCTGAGGGGAGCAGTGGGCAAGACAGGAGAGGTCTGCTGTGCCATATGGGTCAGCTCCCTGGTCAGGGATTGAACCAAGACTATAGTGACTGCCAATAGATTGATAGCACAGAGACATAACCCCCTACACCACCACGGAGGCCCCCTTTCTTTTTAGAAGTAACTCCTTTTCTGAATTTGTTACTATATATTTGCCTACATATAACTAATATATTTTTGTAAACTAATTTTTATTTATAGGTTATGATAATGTACTTTCTCTTTTTCTCTCTGCATCAGTTTTTAAATGTATCGTGTATCGATAGCTCTAGTTTATTCATTTATAGTATCCCTTTAACTATCTTTGTTCCCTACCCCTTAGACTGAGAAAGCTCTGAGTACCTGAATCCTCAACCTTTGTGCCATAAATTAATGGATAATCCTGATACCAGCTATACATGGTGAGGATCTTATTTCCAAAATAATCTCAGGATATATAAATGAAAATACTAAAGCTTTGACTTACACTCAAGTTTTTCTGGACCTAATGTTACAAAATATCTTCCTATTTAACACTATACTAAAGATTTTAAGATTAAAGAATTAGTTTATGTTTACAAAAGGTCTGTTTAACTAGGAAAGTTTAATATTTCCTAGTTCAGAATCATTAAACAACTCCCCCAGCCCCCCCAAAACACACAGACAAACCCACAAGTAAATGTTTATGAAAAAGCAGGATTGGTCCCAATGATGGGATGTTTCTCCAGCTTTGGAAGTCACAACTGAAGAACATTTCTTTTCAAAATTCACCATCAAACATTAAAATTTTTGAAGTAGTTCAGAATAGAGTATAAAAAGATTGCTTTTACATTAATAAATATGTGTCCACAGCGTACAGTTTATAATTGCTGAGAGACAAGTTTCATGTTTATTTCTCTGGTTAGCCCACAAGTGATGCTGGTTCTGTGATAGGATCTTTGATGCTAAGTAGAGCTTTATCTAATTAAAAACATGCATTATACTTAGAGAAATAGGAAGTAGTTTACACTAAGTATTTTTCTGAAATGAGTCCCTTGTAAGTCTTCATTTTTAATTATTGAGCAATTGAGAAGTTAAAAATTGAAAAGTAGATAGAAAATATAACCATAGGTGTTTACATATTTCTGACCTCTTGTGGAAGATCACTTATGTCTCTGTTAACTGCAAGTTCTAGTTTCTCCAAGCTGGCACAGTTACTCAGTTCCTTAGGGACAGTTTTGATTTTGTTGTAACTCAGAATCAGTTCCTGAAGTCTAGTCAGCAATCCTACAAAAAGTAAGGTACAACAGAGGGCAGATGGTTATAAAACATTTCCAGCTGTGAAGCATTACAACATAACCTACTTCCCAATTTGCTGTTGACAGATTTACACCTCTGATTTTTTCTCAATAGGTATCAAGTTAATCAGTGCTGTAGGCAAAAATACATTATTTTCCCCTTCTAATTTATATTATCATTGTCACTAATTTTCCACGTGGAGATTTTATTTTTCTGTTTAAGAATCATTATTTTCTTTCTAGCCTTTAACCTATTCTCTGGGAAGAATAACTGAACCAGAAGTACTATTACCAGAATCTACACCACACAGAGACTTTCCTTGCATAGAAATCCTATCTTGAGTCACCTCAGTAAATCCCAAAGTTTGGATGCTCTTGGAAGCTTCTATTATGTTTAAATTTTGCTCAACCTTCAATTGGGGATATATAAACATGAGGTCTTTATGTCATGTATTTAAAAAACCCCATAAAACAAACAAACAAAAAACTCAATAAAAAAGTATATCTACAGATAATAAAGTAGCATGTACATGAAGCACGATCTTCCTTACCAATTCCTCGAGGTATCTCTGAAATTGTGTTCCTAGATAAATCTAACACAATAAGATTCTGGAATCTTCCAATGAATTCAGGAATTTTTAACAAACCAGTTCTATGAAGTTGCCATTCCTGTAGCTGATTCAGTTTCAGTAGAGAAGAAGGAAGGGTCTAAAATCAAATAAAAGAAGTGATAATCACTGTATTACTTAAATTAATTTGTCATGCTACACTGAAGTACAATTATAGAGGTATTCTTTGATTTGTAAAAGAACCTCAAAATGCCTTTTCCTTAACAGCTTATATTTCCAAGTATTTGTATTCTTTTAAGTTTTAGAAAACACTACTTTGTGTATATTTGGGGGGGGGGAGGGGAACTAAACCTTCAAACCCTAATCATAATAGAATAAACAACAATTAATATTATAGTTAATAAAGCACATTTGTAGAATGATGTTGTGTTAGGCTTTTCTATAGTACAAATGCTACTGAAATGATTCTGTGGTGGTTAATTGAAATCATAGAGAAGCAAAACATTTGAATCAATAATTCAAACTCCTTTCAGATCTTGAAATAAAAGATTTCTAAGGAGGAATTTATTAATTTAAGGATTTAATGAGTCTTAGCCATTCTGAACTGTCTTTTCCTTTTCACTCTAAAATAGTCAAAGGAGAAATAAAAGTGCTAAACCCAAAATATCCCCATATGCATGAAGACAAACACTAACTCAAGCAGCTACGTGTGTGTGTGTGTGTGAGTGAAGGAAGGAAAGAGAAGGAAAGAGAACAACCACGTTCAAGAAAGATTGAGGAGGCACAAGGGGTTAAGATGAAGCACTAGCCACAGACACTGCAGCAGGAATTCAATCCCCAGCAGGGAGCTGACCTACAGGGCAGCAGACCTCTCCTGTCTCACCCACTGCTCCCTGAAGCAGTGTATTTTAGTTAATCACCTTGTTCTTCTAACCTCTCTGTCTCTGGTGACTCCTCTCCCCTGCACCCCACATCTCTGGCTTATACCCCAACTCTTGTATGCATAAATACATAAATCTCTTAAACAAAAAAACAAGAAAGATTAAGAATGAGAATCAGTCAGTAGTCCTGGAAAAATAACCATTTCCATTTTGTGAAGTTTAAACTGGGAACTTATTTTGGAAAAGCTACAGATTTTTGTTAGGGATATATAGCATCATCTTTATAGAAAACTAAAAATTGCTTATTATAAAGATTAGTAGAAATATTACAAGTGACTTATGTTTAGACAGAATTGAAGCAAATCAACTCAATTTTTGCAAAAAAATGTGAAATTATGCTTCTTTTCACTTGTTAGTATTGCCCAAATTGATTAGATGTAGTATTAAAATTACAGTTTCAAAGTATTTCATACTTAATCACAGTCACAGTATCATTAAATCAAATGTGCCTGAAATGCTTACCTTCCACTCCTCTTTTTCAATCCTCAAAATAACTCTTCCATCTTCCCTTGTGACCTTTTCTTTTAGCTTGGTAAAGTTTACTCGTTCTTCCCAGATTCTCACTAACCTAAGATCAAGAAATCATTGTAGTTCACAGGTAAAAACATGGGTAGCATTTAGTTTTATATATTTAGAAAAATGACTCACCAAAAACAACTATTTCATCAGTAATATCTGTAAATCAGATAAGAATATTCACAATATGCCCTATTTTTATATTTTTAAAAAGGATGGTTGTCCAAATTTTTACAACAGTTGATATATAGTTCACATACATAAAATTTGTTCTTTTAAAAATACAATTCTGGGGTCTCCCTGGTGGCCTCTGAGACCACAGATGGGACAGCAGACCTCTCCTGTCTTGCCTGCTGCTCCCCTTACCAGTGTATTTCAGTAGATCTGCCTGTTATGCTCTCCACTTTGTCTTTGGTGAATCTTCTCACCCCTCACAGTCCGCACCTCTAGCTTACCTCCAGTTCTTATATGCATAAATAAATAAAACAAATCTTCTTAAAAAAAAAGTAATAAAAAGCTATAAAAATGACTAGCAAAAAGTTTTCTACTTCTATAGTAGAAAAATTATGTACAAAATGATTTTAAAAAGTTAAAAATTGGGGCCTCCCTACGGCACAGGAGTTAAAGTCTCAGTGCCATCAAGCTGTCACCACCCACTGCATAATGAGTTTGATTCCTGACCAAGGAAGTGACCTCCATGGTGCAGCAGACCTCTCCTGTCTCACCTGCTGTTCCCCTCAGCAGTGTATTTCAGTCAACCTGCTTGTTCTGCTCCCCACTTTGTCTTTGGTGAATCCTCTCTCCCCCTGCACCTCTGGCCTGTACCCAGTTTTGTTTGCATAAATAAATAAAACAAATATTTAAAAATAAGTTAAGAATTGAAAGTTTGGCAATTTTTTGCCTATTAGACTGATACATAATAAATAAAAGTAGTCACTAAAACACAGTTTAAGTAATTTGATTATTTGGCAGAAACCTCTTGCCAACTAAGTTAATTATATTCTTACCAGTTTTGCTGATTAAATAATCGTCAGTGAATATTTTATTATAGTAAGCAGAAAACCAAATCATGTTTAAAAATGTAATCTTTGCTGTTAGTACATGTGTGTAAAAATATTTTATCGAGTCTGTATATTTTCACATGCTGTTTGTCAGAAATTTTATCTGCTAACTGGTATACTGTGGCAGTGTCTATGTGTGGCTTTCAAGACTGAACAGCTGAACTTCCAGTAATTGAGAAAAAAATGTTATGCATCTATTCAATTTTATCACTTTTTATACAGGCAACTATTCAGACAATAGACATAATGATTACTAATTACTTAATACTCATAAATTTATGTTTCAGAATGAATGCCGTTGGTTGTCGCGTCCCTAACTTTAAACATTAAAGGATTCATCAAGTACCTGTTACGAGCCAAATACTATGCTAGGCTCATGAATACAAAAGTCTCTGTCCTTAATACATCTACAGTGAGACCACCTGTTAGTACACAAGTTTCTTTTCATTGCTACAGTGATTCCTAAATTCCTCTTGAGTCTAAAACCTACACTTTGCAAAACTGTTTCTAGAAAATATGGAGCTAGACATGAATTTTGTTAAGTGTAAAAGTATCTTCCCTCCTAAATTCCTTCAATAATATCTGTTTGGGTTTGGTTTTTGTCACTCAGATTGCCAGAAAGCTCCACAAATTATATCTAACCTTAATGATCATATAGGTGTATGTAACTTAACTTTTAGGATTAAGTTCTCCAACCGAATCATACTATAGTTAAGAAGTCAAAAAAGAAGCGGTAGGTACGATAATGCTTTTATACAGAGGTAACTAGAAGCTGTTGAAATTTAGTGAGTCTACTTGTTGAACAAGAAACAGAAATAATTGCCACTCTTGTGAGTGAGGCCAAGCTGCGATGCCTAGAAGTATACCTGTCAGTATGTGACAGGGAGAGACGTGAATCTGAGACACAAACTGACACCCTTTGAAGCTGTCAAGGCTCTGGAATTGCCTTGCTTCAGGACTTTCTTATCTTTAAGCCAGATTTAGTTGAATTTCTGTTATTTATCAACTGATACAAGAACATTAAATGTTTAGGAAGAGATTAAATGAATGCAGATTGTAGGGAGCTATTTGGAATCAATGAAGAAAGGGAATATCCTTGCAAAATTGGTAGAAAAGTTTGGCAACATCCAACTAGGAAGGTAGATAGGTATCAAGAAAACAGAGAAAATGAGAATCAAACTAAGTATAGATAAAGTCACAAATTTAGTTGACTCATGGGGCATAGGTAGAACTCTGCTATTCAAATAGGTGAGAATCTATAGTACCATCTACTGGCAGATATTGTAGATCCTAGGGGATATCATCTGAAAAAACTACTAAAAAGTAAATTAAATGGTAACAATCAAATGTTGATCAGTGAGGGCCTAAGATTACTACTATTTTCATATGCAGGAATTGTATTGTGTGTGTAGAAGATCTGGGGTGTAAGCCAAAGGGGCGGGGGGGGGGGTAAGAGGATTCACTAGAGACAGAGTGGGGAGCAGAACAGACAGATTTACTGAAACACACAACTAAAGGAGTAGCAGGCAAGACAGGAAAGGTCTGCAGCATCATATTGGGTTGGCTTCATGGTGGGGGATTGAACTCAGGCCGTCGAGGTGAGAGCACTGAGATTTAACCCTTAGGCCACAAGGGAGGCCCCTGAGACTTGTAATTTTGAGGCCCTATCACATAACCATACTTACATGGAGTCAGGTGTTTCCTTTAGTTATATTTTGAGGTTTCAGTAAATAAAAATCTATCAGATTCAATAATGTAACAGTTAATAAGTGCCCTTTTCTGCAATAATGATGTTACACATTTTCACTAGTCTACAATAACAAGCATGTAAGAGCATACTTCTGTTGAAATTCCTTCTCTTGCTTCAGGTCTTCACTATGTTTCTTGATTCTTTTTTCCCAAACAACCTTTACAGCATTGACAGCTCCAGCACAAACCATATTTTCTGACATGATTTCTCCACATTGTCACAGAATCACCAGCTTCATTAAGTTCTGAATAGCTGATTCATAGGTGCTGTCTCAGAAAAGACCTAAATTGTACCAGAGGATAAAAACATATTTCAGAAAGTTCAGTGAGGAACACAAAGATAAAAATGGCTTACATTTACAGGACACTTTCCATGATCCCATAACTATCTTATACACACTGCATTCCATTAATAATCCTAAAATACTATAATGTGGTACTTTCATTGTGTCTATATGCAGATGAGAAAACTGAGCTTTAAAGAAGATGACTGACTTACACAGGGTCTTATATTTAGTACCTGGAAAAGGGGGAAACTGATACAAATCTCATTCTTATGTTACTGTGTAATTCTCAGCAATAGAAAGCTGCAACTAGCCAACATGTTTAATTATAAAAACATGGTTAATATTGGAAATATAAATGGATATATAAAATAAGGCAGGCATATTGGGGTATTTACCCATAGGTACAGGTTGGAATTCAGTGAAATGTTTTACTTTTGTGTAAAATAAATGGCTTATGCACAGAAGCAATATTGAGGAGTGTGACTTGGAAAATAAAGAAATGCTTATGTAATTGCTAGAGACCCATTTGTTGAAATAATATCTTACCAATAATAGCATTAATATTTCATAAAATTATACTAATAATAATGAAAATTTAATTCACAATGGAATTATTTCCTCCCAAACTCAGGAAATGGAAGATGTCTATAATCATTACTTCTATTCAGCATTATCCCAGACTGCTTTAATGCTAGGAAAAGAAGTAAAGAAAGTACAAATTTGGAAAGGAAGGAGTGCAATTTGCAACAGCACAGAAAAACAGGTACTCTCATACACTAAACCTGGTGGCATATGTTGTAGTATTCTTTATGCAGAGAAATTTGATGTTGTCTATCAAACTTATAAATATACATAATACTTGTCAGAATTTATAGTGCAAACATTTCCAAATGTAAAATGATATTACCAAGTTATTCCCTACAGTGCTTTTCATAACAGCAAAAGACTGGAAACAACATAACTTTCCATTACTAAATTACAGTACATTCTTGTCATGGAAAATTGTTTAGCTCCATAAAGAAGGGACTTTTTTAATAACTGAATGCCATGAATGCCACAACATATGACTGCCACAGTTTATCTATTCTTATGAACACAGATATTTGGGTCCCAGATTTTTGGTATTATGTGCAGTAATATTTCTGAAATTCTTGTTGTTCTTGGTGCTCAAGGGGTGTTGTTTCTATTGAGTATATAACTAGAATTTGAATTGTTGGCTAATAGTATGTGAATGTTCAAATTTATAAAACAGAGCCAAATTATATTCCAAAGTAGCATAAAACTACCTATGAAAAAGGAAAAAAAGAAATGAGATGACCACTGAAAAGTAAATAAAAAGAAAATAGTTAAAATGGTTGCTTTTATGGTGATAGAAATAGGATATAGTATAATGCAGAAATGGGTTATATGGTAATGCTTTTCATTATAATCCTCTAGAATCCTCTAAGTATTCATTTCTTTAAACTTAAAAGTATGCATGTGTGTGAATAAGAGAGATTGAGGCATACAGAAAAAGGGGGGAAAACTGTTCAACTCTAACTCAAAGGAGTAACTACACGCGTATATTCACTGCAGCAACAAGTTACAAAAACAATCTAAGGGTCTTTAAATAATTAACAACCTCAGTTTTACAGCAAAGTAAAGGAATAGGCCAAAACAAACCCTTGATATCTTGCTGCAAAACTGAGGTGACTGGAGAGGAGAGTGTTGGTGGGAGTGAGAGCAGAGAGATAAGGGGCCCCATGAACTGTGTAGAGGATTACTAGGGTTTTTGTATGGTATGATAACATACTTTTGGGAGGTGTGGGAAATGAACATTTTCTCAATAACCATAATTTTAAGAAAACCTGTATTACAGAAGAAAGCATATTTAAAATTGCAATTTAACTTCAATTGCCAATATGCAAATTATTAAGCATGGGTCCCCATATTTAAACAATGAGCAGATTGTAAGATCATAGGCCACCAAGAAACTTTGGTGTACATATACTGCAGTCAGACTCCCTGGGTATATTAGTCAACTTAAAATATATTGTCTCAGATTTTAATAACTGTGATGTATTTAATGACTGAATTAAAAAATGTGTTTTAAACCAAGATTCTACATGTAAATGTGTATTTTACTAGACATATAAAACTATTCATGTGCCAAGTCATTTCCTCTTATGCCATTAAACTTAGTCCAGGCATCAGTTTTCCTATAGCAGCTACCAGTTTTCCTAGAGGAAAACAGGTCAATAATTGATGTGTGCAGTTCTGCCTCCAGCAAGTGACTGTGACCCCATCTTGGTCATCAACATGACAAGCAAGCACTGAGCATGACCGTGAAGTAAATGCAGCAATGACATGACTAGGAGTCAGCTCCCCAAAGTCAAAAGAAAGCAAAAGAAATACGATTTTCAAAGAAATGTTTCTTAACTTCCAAGGAAATCAGTCTTGCAGAGAAAATTTACAATTACATGAACCCCCAGAGAGGATTTTAAACTCAATCCTAAGTTTAGTTGCACATTCCAGAAACACACAGTAAAGGCATCCTCAGAATCTACGTACCTGTGAATAATGGGGGAAAATGTTTTTGAAAAAATACTTACCATTATCCATGGATGCAGAAGCTGATATACCCAAAGTTAGCAATAATCAGCTAAAGGGAAAATTGTCAGTGTGACTCCAAATGATGAAAATCCTCGGCCAGACTAACCAAGTCAAGTGTAATGTCATCCAGTTCTAATTTTAGCTCGCGGACAAAGCTGAGAATAGCAGGACTCACATGGCACTTCTGTGCAAATGGTCAGCTGACAACGTATATGAGTGTGTTCTGTACACACACGATGCTGTACCTTGGCCTTATAAAATGATCAGAGTGAAAAAGAATTAATCCTTCGTGACTCGCACACTATGAGTACTGATCAGAATCTAACAAGTCTATTCCAAGCAAAGAAAATTGAAAATATGTAGGTGACCAGCATAAACAATAGCTACCTAGTAAATAGCTCTGTAAACTCTCAAATTTAAGGCACAGATTTCTTAGATAAAAAGCAAAGCAAGAGAAAAAAAAAAAAGCAAAGCAAGAGTATAGATAAGGGTTAACGACAGAGGAGCGCCACGCATCTGCTTCCAGGTTTCAAATTTTATTCACTCAGTTTTTATCACTTTGGCCTCCATAAATAGCAGCTGATTCCTGGTTATTTAAAAATATATATATACTTGTTTATTTTTTAATTGTCAATATATGTGTATGGAACAATTTCAAAAGATAATGAAGCACTTCCTTCCTCTCCTGCCTCCAGCCATTTAGTTTAAAAACTGTTTAAAAGCACATCCAAGCTGCCCCTGCAACACACAGGTAGAAGAATGTATATATATTGTTCTGTACCCTTTGCTCTTCACTCAATTGAGAAATTATTTCATATTAACATACTTAGAGTTGCATCATTTTAAGGCTACATACATTTTGGTGTGTAGGGGGATGATAAAATATTTAGACACTTCAGCAGTATTGCTGCTTTCAAATGCCAGCTATTTTAACTATTTCTTGTTATTTTTCTAAAGATGGGTTTATACTGCTGTTTCTTCTTATACCAATTTCAGAATCACCTATTGATTTTACATCATAAAATGTGGTGGGCTTAAGCTACTCACTGAGAACCTTATACTTCCCCATAGCCTTCCTCCCAACATAATTATAGCACAATTTTCATGATATGAGTAGGTATCTCATTTTATAGCAGTGCACAAATTAGGTAGTTGTCTTCTATCATTGTATATTTGCCAGCTGGTTGACACCCAGGTTTGTATCTGAGGTTCCAGAGGGGATATTTCTTTGGAATCCATGGCCTGAGTAAATACAATTGCAATGAAAGAAGGAAAAGAAAAGGAAAAAAAATAAAAACAACAAAAATGGAGTGGCAACCTTCCAATTATAAAACTATAAATATTCTATTAAGGAATATTTAATGATGTGAGGACATGTGCATGATACTGTTACATTAAGGGAAAAAAGATTACAAATTCACTATATAATATGGTTCAATATTGTGGCAGAATATTTTTCCTGTTGTCTTAGGAAAAAGAAAACAAAAGTAGAAAACCAAGTGAAATGGCTAAGTAAAAAAGGATGAATTAAATGTTATTCAAAAGAATTTAAAGCAGAATCTCTAAGAGGTATTTGCATGCCCATATTCACTGCAGCATTATTTCAGTGGCCAAGAGGTAGAAGCAACCCACATATTGAGAGATGAATGGATAAAGAAAACGTGTATACAGCCACTGGAATGTCGCACAGGCTTTAAAAAGAATAGAGACCTTGACTCGGGCTGCAACATTATGAACTTTGAGGATATTATGCTAAAAAACATTCACAGAAGGACAAATGTTATGTGAATCCACTCATATGAAGTATCCAAAGTAGTAAAAAATCATAAAAACAGAAGAATAGAAAGGTGTTGTCAAAGACTCAAGGGAGCAGGGAGCATATACTTAACACTGCTGAACTGTACACTTTAATGTTCACCATAGGTGCCTTCCTGGTGACACAGGGGTTAAAGTCTTGGTAGGAAGCTATTTCCAGCCACTGCAGCACAAGTTCAACCCCCAGTCAGGGAGCCAAATCACTTGGCACAGCACACCTCTCCTGTCTTGCCCACTGCTCCCTTCAGCAGTATATTGTAGTCGATCTACCTGTTCTGCTCCCCACTCTGTCTCTGGTGAATCCTTTCACCCTAGCTCCTCTGGCCTACGCCCAGTTCTTGTGTGCATCAATAAATAAATCTTAAAAAAGAAAAAAGGAATATTTAGTTCAATGTTATTTGGACTTGTGATTTGGTCTGCTGCACTATGTTGGTCAGCTCCCTGGCTGGGTATTAAAGTCTTGCTGCAGGGGCTGTGGATCACTTCATAGTGCTGAGACTTAACCCCTTTTGCCAACAAGTAGGCTCTATATAAATAAACCCTTTATTAACCTTTTTGTATGTCTCTGCAGTTGAGTCTCAATGTAGGTCCCTTCTAAGCACAGGTGAAGACCCACACTTAGGCCAACCCATTTCACACTGGGTTGCCCTGTAAGTTACATAGTGTACCTTTCTAAAGACAACTGCATGAACAAGTCCCACAAAAATATGCAGAGCCGTTAATGTCCAAAGAAGATGGAATGTCCAGTGAGATTTTTTCTGTATTTAAAAAGTCTGACAAACCAAAAAAAAAAAAAACCCATTGTGGAAATCTTATCTATTGTTTATTAAATTGGAGTGCATTGCTTTTATTTACTAGTAGCTTTAATATTCACAAGCTCATTAGAGAAACTAATGTAGAAAATGACAGTAGCTGTTTTTCAAACGACACCATCTAAGAGTTTGTTCTCCTTGTCCTAGCAACCAACCTGGTTCTTCTAATCTTATGCCAGAAACACAGTGGGACCAAGGCCAGGTTCTTGTGCAACCTGAGAAGTCCTTGGTTTGCTCTGTCACATTTGAATATCGTAACACTTCACACTGTTAGTCATGTTCCAATTTATACTCATCTCTGAAGTTTCCATTAACTGCACCTGCCAGCGACGTAGTCAACTTGCCTCTTTTACTCAGTTTGAACTCTGGCAGCATTTTTCCAGGAAAAATTTCCAGGACTTTTAGTTACAAGGTTTTTCCAGATGATTGCCCTCTTGCAATTTATTTAGACATAACCTTTATAACCTTCCTTTGGGCCACATTTTCCACTTTACCTTTTATTACATTTTAGAACTAGTCACCACACATTTGGAACACATACTTAGATGTTTCTTGCAGAACTCAAGTTGAATAGTTTAAGTTGAATAGTTTAACACAGTCAAGACATACTCCAGGGTGCGGGCCTCCTGAACACAGTGTGGAGAAGCCTCCTGAGCTTGAGATTAGCAACAACCCTCCTGTGACTATCCTGACTTCCACCCATGTCCAAATTCTTGATCTCCTACTGTGCTCATTTCTTCTGTCAAAACCCTTGTTAACTCTCAACAGCTGTTCCCCAGGTTTGGCTTTTAACATTCCATGCAGTGCTCTGTAAAGGCCTGATCTGAATGACCTCTTAGTAACAGAACTGCCAATTTTTTTTGGTTAAGCTTCAGTTGTTGTTTGTGGCTCCTTTGAAGTCTCTACAAATTCTCCAGCTCAGCTGTAGCAAGCTGGCCATTTCTCCCACCAGGGGCAGACTAATAGCATATGAAATAGCTTGTGGGGAATCTCTTCTGACTGCATTAGAATACATTCATTTTCATTTCTACTTAATTCTGAGCTTACAAATGTCAAGGAAGCCTGCTACCTTCAGTGTTTACTTAAAAGCTAATAACTGCGATTGGCCCTCCCTGGTGGCGCAGCGGGTTAAAGCACAGCACTGAGAAGCTAAAGCCGCTTCCTCATGAGTTCGATTCCCGCCTGCCCCGGAGGTGACCACATGGCGTGGCAGACCTCTCCTGACCCGCCCGCTGCTCCCCTCAGCAGTGTACTCCGTCGATCTGCCTGTTCTGCTCCCCACTCTGTCTCTGGTGAATCCTCTCACCCTCCGCATCTATGGCCTGTACCCCAGTTCTGTATGAATAAATAAATAAATCTTTAAAAAAAAAAAAAAAAAGCTAATAACTGCGCTATTAGAAAGCCCTGGCTGTTTCAATGGCAGAGCAGTGCTTACATGAACCATTTTAGATTTGGCTTAAATAGTGCAGCGTTAACTTGGTTTGTCTGATGGATCTTACTGAAATGGTAGTGACCTTGAGAAGTTAGAGAGAGAAAATGGGTTCCTGGAACTCAGGAGAAAAGTGGATCCAGCGAGAGAACCACTTAGGAGTCACTTAGGGGAGAGATGTTAGAATTTTAAATTATGCAAATGCACTAATAGGGAGCTGGTTAAATGATGGTATATCCCACTCCTGATCCTTCCAGACATGACTAGTAACTTCCATGAGATGCTTTTACACCATGTTTTTCCTACTTAGAGGTGTAATAAATTTTATGAGTTACTATCTACAGCTTCTAATAGTGGCAGGTACCATGAAGATGGGCATTGCATGCCCAACGCTTAGCATCATGCTTGGAAGGTGGTAATAATATACTATGCAGCCATTTAAAATATAATGTGGAATTGTTTATTGACATTGAAAGTTACCCATAAAAATAATGTACTAAATTGTAAGAGTTTAGTTTGACCTTATTTTTATAAAAGAATATTTATAAAGATACATTGATCAAAATGTTCATAGTGGTAGGATTATAGATGATTTTATTTTTTGTAACTCCACATATACATATATTTAAAAAATGTATTTATTTATGCATACAGAGCTGAGGTAAAGGCCAGAGGTTCAGGGGCAGTGAGAGGATTGCCAGAAACAGAGTGGGTAGCAGAACAGGCAGGGGGCAGACCTGGAGAGGTCTGCCACGTCATGTGGGTCAGCTCCCTGGCCGGGAATGAGCTCATGTTGAGGCCAGCTTTGCAGTGCTACGCTTTAACAGGTTGTACCACCAGGAAGGACCATGTAACTCCATATATTTGAATTAAAAAAAATAACATATCGGGGGCCCTTCCTGGTGGTGCAGTGGGTTAAAGCACAGAACATGAATCTAGTCATGGCAGCCTCAGCATAAGTTCGATTCCTGGCCAGGGAGCTGACACACTGGCAGCACAGACCTTTCTTGATTAGCCCACTTCTCCCCTCATCAGTGTCAGTCTGCCGGTTCTGCTCTGCACTCTCTCTGGTGAATCCTTTCAGCCCCCAGCCCCTCTGGCATCTACCCCAGTTCTGTATGCATAAATAAATACATATTAAAAAAAAAATATTTAACTCATTATTCTCTAAACATCATTTAGAAAATTCTTAAGTAGACATTAAAACAACTACTTTCATTACAAATTTCACAATGAGTTTTCCATTCATTTTCAAAATGGTGGATTATATTACTCCGGATTCTGTCTCTGATTAAAGTGAGTTTCAAAAAAAATGGATGAACTTTATTTGAGTGCCTGTAATTACCCATTAGGATCTTTTACATTCTTTCTCAGGACTTGGAGAATAGACCTTAATTTCTTATCCTTTCCTACTTTCTAGCATAATACTAAGAAAATCAGACAATGGAAAGGCAGCTGATTCTGAATGTAAGACATCAGTGGCTACAACATTTAAAGTGCCCTCTGGTCTATGAAGCAAGTTTGTGAAGGAAAAGTTTTTTCCCAACCAAACACCAAAAAAAATTAGCAAAATTCTAAAAGCATACTCATTTTAAACAAACATCTTTAATAGCCTTACTGGTTATAAAACTAAAAGGAGGCATTTTTAATATCAGCCTATAATTTTCCCTTTTAAGAGGATTAATTCATATAAACAAGACATTCACAAATGATAATCTACATACTCCTGGATACCTTAAAAGGTAAACATAATTGCACTTATATTACAGTTAGCATAATTGTGGGAAGATGGAAAATATTTTTGCATATAAATTTCCTTTCCCAAGTGTAATTCAAATTTCACTAGGAGTCAGTTTAAAATTAAAAAAAGAAAAAAACAGGGCAACTACTGTACATAGTATATGGCTACTTGTCTTTCAGTGATATTAATTTTATTGTTCTTGCCAGTTTCAATCCATTGACACAAAGGCCTCAGCACCTTATAAAGAAGTGACACTATGACCTATAAGATGTGACAGCCCCCGAAGAACTATTACACCAGTATTTATTTTCAGTAAAAAGTTGAACAGAAATGTGATAAATATTGTGCCTTAGAACCTTAACCATACAATACAAATCATTTATAATACAAATTGTAATGAACATGTGCTTGCACGGCGAAGCTCTACATATTCTGTGGGATCTCAGAAAGTTCAAAGAAGCCTTATCCATCTTCACTTCATATCCAGTAACATCATAGCTGGATTTTCTAAGTAGGATTTCCACAGATTAGAGAAACGTGACATTGTTGCACCATCAATAATTCTGTGATCAGCTGACCAGCTCACATTCATTATCTGTGCCTTATATACTTCTCCTTTCTGGTTAAATCGGGGAAGGGCCTAGAAACAAGGAAAAGGGCAGAGTCAGCCTTCAAATGCTCGAAGTGCCAACCCTAACAACAATCGTGGTGACAGATGACATCAACACTCCCATCACAGAGAGGGATGGGCATTCCAAATGAAAGCAGAAAGTGCCACTTTCCCATTTCGTGAGCTGTGTCTCAAGTTGTCAGAGTTTGGGCAAGGCATTTCCTTCCTGTCTCCTGCATGCTTTCCATTGGTACCGTAGATTTCATCTCATTTCAATTATTAGCAAATGTTTATTGAGCACCTACTATGTCTAGACTCGGGATAAGGCAGTGAACAAAACAAGTAATCCTTGTAGCAAACATCTGACAGGGGAGAGACAGTGAAGATAAATAAGTAAAATATAAGGATGTTAAAATGCAAAGGAAAAATAAGGCAATCTGCAAATGGGAGAGAATAGGCATGGGATGAAGTTGAGGAACGGTGGCCTCTTTTTTGTTTTTAGCAGAATGAGCAGGAAAGTCTCACCAAGGCGGCCTCTTCACTGTACATAGCAGGAGACAGCCATGTGGATATGAAGGAGAAAGAGAGAGGAGGCGAGACTGTGTGGGACATGGCGCAGTAGAGGGGCAAGGTGAGTGTGAAGGATAAATGGTGAAGGGTGAGTCACACAGTTAAGAGAAACAGCTCTCAGTCTGTCTTTAGTAGGAACCTTCTCATCCACCCCCCAAATTTCTAATCCAATGTAGGCTTTTTTCTAATAATACATTAAGGCAAGTTATTTAAAAAATGAAATTTAAAAAATGATACAAAATATAAGCATTAATTTATTCGAGTCACTAGACATTAACTTACTCTCTCAAACTGCTGTGGGTCTTTTTTTAAGACTGCATCTTCCTTTCTGTACTTACTTCCCCACAACCTTGATGTAAGGCACTGCCCACAGGGGCCCCCAGATTAGGCACCTCAAAGTCACACTAGCAGTGTAGGGTCATGGAGGTCAGGCAGCTACTTTGCCTTTGACCCTGAATGAGATGAGAAGTACTAGAGGTTTCTGAGCAGAATGGCCATTCACTAAATGGTGAGACTACAGGAAAAGCAGGTTTGAGCATGAAGGTTGGTGAGGAAAGGAGCAGGAAATTCTAGAATAGACATTCAGAAGGGTATAAGTTGGGACTTCAAAGGAGAGGTCTGGTCCACAGAGATCAACTTGGGAATCATCACTGTGTTGACATTTAAAGCCATGAACCTGGACCAGATAAAGAAAAGGACCAGGCAGAGCCCTGGGTCTCCAACATTTAGAAACTGGGAGGTGAAAGGGCATGAACAATGGAGACTTAGAGGGAATAGCTGTAGGTAGGAGCAAAGTCAGAAAAAGGTTTGCTTAAGTCAAGTGAAGCATGTTTACCTGCCTCAATTGTAACTAGTAATAAGGAAGATGAGGATTGTAAATTGAAGATGTAATGACTTAGACCACTTAATAGGAGTTCAAAATTTATAGTGAAAACAGAAAATAACAAAGGAGAGATGACACAAAGGGAAGAAGGAATTAAATATTTGGCACAACCCAACAGTTTTAGTTACTTTAAGTCACAGTGTAGATTGAGACTCAAAACTATTCTTGTGCCATAGCTTAGTTACCCATGGGAACAAGAGTAAAATGACTCTGTAAAATGGAGCAGATATTTGGACACCAAAGTTATAGAAGCATTATTCATAACCACTGGAAAAGCAAACAAACCAGATACAGCCCAAATATTCATTACAGATGAACAGAAAAACAAAATGTAGTCTACACGTTCAGTTTCAGTTTGGGAGGACAAAAAAGTTCAAGAGATGGATGTGCAAATGCAAACAGACCTAATACAAGATCTAACATCCCCAAATAAATGGCAAGTTTATGTATGTTTAACACACACACACATTTCAAAAGGGAAAAAAAAAATCTCTTTAAGAAAAAAGAAAAACAAAACTTTGCCAAGCAGGTATGATTAGTTAGGAACTACACAGAATCAGAAATTCTGGATTTCTTTTCTGGATTTTTTTTCTTTAAAGATTTACTTATTTATGCATAGAAACTAGGGTATAGGCCAGAGATGGGGGGGGGGACGCCGGTAAGAGGACTCACCAGACACAGAGTGGGGAGCAGAGCAGGCAGACTGACTGAGTTACACAGCTAAGAGGTGAAGTGGGAGAGACAGGAGAGGTCTGCTGTGCCATATGGGGTCCAACTCCCTAACTGGATCAAATTCAAGTTGCAGCAGTGATAGCCCTGATACTTAACCTTTGTGCCAACATGGAGGCCCAAATCTGGATTCTTATTGGAAGAACATGGGATAATTACCTCTCAGAGAAACCCTTGATTTGGAAAGAAATGTCCTGCTGTGTGCTTTTGTGTTTCTTTCTCCTATCTCCTTTGTGTGCCAGAAGAGAATACAGAAACTTAGAAGAGGAAGGAACTTAGTAGAGCACAATCTACTAGAAAATAAATCAAAGGCAGAATGAAAGTATTTAGGAGGGTTTGGGATGCCAAAATGAAAGTAATAAATGCATGAAAGACATGAGGAAGCAGGATAAAAGGTTCTTTTGAAATTATGAGACTAAAGTCAAGGTTAATATAGCAACAAAAACATTTCACAATGTTGGTACTGAAATGGTCTCCAGGACCATCTGTTTTAATACTGGTATATCTCTACCCTAACTTAATAGAAGTGTCCCAAGTCTTACCTCACCACATTCTCCCTCAGTTGGTATGGGGTAAATGTGAACATATTTTTCAAGCTATCTGATGATGCTAACTAATGTACCCAAGGCGAACAATCAATCAATCCTTATTCTAAGTCAGTGTCTCCTAAGACCCGACCACAGAGGAATTATGTTGGAAATACCCAAGTTCTTTAAAATGCAAGTTCTGAGGGCTATTTCCAAAGCCAAGAAATCTACAATTTAAACAAGTATTCCCAATGAATTTTGAACATAGGAAGTTTGAAAAATTCTCTAAGCAGTGCCTTACTTTGTTGTAAATAGTAATTTAGTATTGTTTACTATTATTCTTTGGTATTATGAAAGATTATTTTGATAAAAGCAGACTGGTTACATCTGCAGTTATTTTGAGCCTGGCATAATGCACAATGGATGAACCACAAAGAAACAATTCAGCTCACTATCATTGATCACACAAAGACAGCAATTAGAATTGTAAGCCTAACCCTTAGGAAGAAATAAGTCACTTACTAAAGCGAATATTAACACTTAAATCTACAAAGCAAGGGAAAACCTCAAAAATGGTTACTCTTCTTTGTGTTTACTCTCAAGTTGATAAAACTCTTTTGCCAATGATTTAATACACATACCTGAATTGATCCGAGAGCCCCAATTGCTACTTCAGGGGGCAGTATCACTGGTTTGGCGTAAGTACCACCAATCTAAAAATAAAAAAGGATAAATGGAAATGAATATATATATTTGTAGTGAGTCATAAGACTCATAATCTTAAATAATGGTTTATGACTCTGAACATTACTATTACTTACTGATCCAATGTTGGAGAGAGTAAATGTTCCTCCTGTGAGGTCAGTGGTGCCAAGCTGACCCGCGGAGCCCAGTTTCTGGAGGCGATTCAGTTCAGTGGCGATCTCAAATACAGAGCAGACCTGCACGTTTTTCACATTAGGGACAATCAACCCCTGCTCTGTATCCATTGCGATCCCAATGTTATGAGAAGCCTAAGGGAGAAAAGTATAAAAATAGGGTTTCACAAGTTAATGGGAAAGAGAGTAGCAATCTTTCTATCTTATGAAAAGATAACTGTCAAAAACCATTTTCCACAGAATGGTGATGATTTAAAGAAATCGAGAAAGGGTAATTTTTGAAAAAGGTAGAATATAGGGCAACAGGTTATTTCTGTACATTGTTATTGGAAATGTAAGCTGGTGTAGACTTTCTGGAGATCATTAACAATATGCACTTGCATTTATAAAAAAGTAGGCTGGCCCTCCCTGGTAGCGCAGCGGGTTAAAGCACAGCACTAAGAAACTAAAGCCACTTCCGCATGAGTTTGATCCCCGCCTGCCCCAGAGGTTACCACATGGCGCGGCAGACCTCTCCTGACCCGCCCGCTGCTCCCCTCAGCAGTGTACTTCGTCGATCTGGTTATACTGCTCCCCTCTCTGTCTCTGGTGAATCCTCTCACCTTCCGCATCTCTGGCTTGTACCCCAGTTCTGTATGAATAAATAAATAAATCTTTAGAAAAAAAAGTGGGCTAAGGAGATAATTGCAGAATTATGTAGGGATATTGAATTTGGACTGTAAGTTTGAAAAAATGAAATCCATAAACTATTTCTCAATAAGCCACTGGCCCAAAAATAACAACAAAGCTATATTTACTGACATGTAATGATGCCCATAGATTAAATGAAAAACAAAAATTTAAGTTATAAATTAAATACATGATTCCATTTTTCTCAAGTATAGAAAACAAAACCCTGACAGGATACACATCTCAGTATACATAAATAATGGGTCATTAAGGGTCATGGGATTAAAAAAAAACCTTATTTTCCTGTCTGAATTGTCTACAACAATAATTCACTTAATTAGGAAGTTATTTTAGTTATATGGGAAGATTTTTCATTCTTGCTCTCTCTCTCTATATATATATATTTTAAAAGATTTATTTATTTGTGCATACAGAACTGGAGTACAGGCCAGAGGCTCAGGGGC